ATCTGTTCGACTGAAATCGCCAACTTTTAATCCCAAGCAGTGAAATTGTCCTCCACAATTTTTTTTTTTTTTTTTATATTCAACTTTTTGCCAGTGGCATTTGATCATAAGTAGCCGTTAAGTACGCGTGAAATTCGCGTTTAGCTGTGAATTTCATTCGAACCCCGTAGATCAAATAAAATGATAATTTTCGCAAATTTCTTTTAAACACTTGTTAAACTGCGTGAAGACCCCCTCCATCACCTAAAGAGATTTCACACTTGTGCAAGAGCCAACAATTTTCTCGAATTGTGCTTGAAATTCAAACTCCTTTATGTTGGTAAAACTAAAAAAAAATCGCTAAGTGGGCGTTTTTTGCATCTTTTCGTCGATCGCCTATTTAGTCGTGCTCCTTTCGAAGCTCTGACCGCTGCTGGGCATGCGCCCGTACATCAAAAAATTTAAAGTAACTGCTTGCACCATTTCAAGTGCTGCACCTTTATTGGTTTCTTCGTTGTTGTTGTTGTAGCGGCTCAAGCCGCAAGTGGCACCTACCTCTCTTATGCTAGCCGGCTTAGATCGTCCACTAAAGCTGTGCTTTGCTTGCACTTTTTATATGGAGTTGCTTTTTTCTAATTTTTTTTTTATATTGCGGTCAGGCACAGATGAATTGTTCCGATAGAAGGAAATTGGAAATTTTTTGGCGTTTTCTATCCATAAGTTTGCTCAACTACTAGCCTTAATGCTTTTACAATAGTTAGTGCTGGCCGTTTTGTTTGTTGCTTGTTCCACTGGTTGGTCAATTGTTAGTTGGTTGTTTTTGTTCGAACAGGTAATGTAAAAAGCTTGCGGCATCGTTGAAAGTGACAGCGTTTGTCCGTTGTAAGTTTGTGCGATCTTAGTGGATTTTCTGGATTTTATCTATTTTGTACAATGAGCGCTCATACACATGCGCATACATACATACCTACATATGCATAGATATGTACGACACTTATAAACGTTTAGGCATGTGAACTACTGTATGGCATTAAGCCAAAGCACTTTTCTTCTCGTTTAAGAAAAAATGGAAAGTGGTTTTGCATTGTTTGTGTTCATCACCATTTTTAGTATGCAGTAGAAAAATTGACCGCAGACGACAATAATTCATGCCTTGGTACGTACGTATGTATGTACATACAGTTGTGTGCAAAATAATAAGCACCAAATTCTAAATGGTATTGTTAACAACTTTTGTTTATTTATTTTTAATAATTTTCATTTAAAATATAGTTCAAACTACGACAATATAGATCAAAATTCGAAAAATTGTCACCAAAATTTATAACTTTTATTAATCAACAGGAATTTTTAGCGACTTGAAACTAGTCTTTTATTATTTTTAGAAAATTTTCGATGTGATTTATACTAAAATTACAAAACTGCATACTCGAACATTTTCTCAAAATATTAAAGGACAAGTTTCAAGTCGCTAAAAATTCTTGTTGATTAATAAAAGTTATAAATTTTAGTGACAATTTTTGGAAGTTTGATTTATTTGTGTGAACTTTGTGTAAGTTTTGAATCTTTTATTCATAGATCGAACAAAATTTTAAATGAAAATTATTAAAAATAAATAAACATAAGTTGCAAACAATACCATTTTGAATTTTGTCCTTATTATTTTGCACACAACTGTATGCATGCACATATGGCATATAAAATATTGATATTCATGTGTTTATATGAAGCTATGCGCGGACTTTGACCCCTGTAATGAAATGGGTATATGGCTTACATACATATTTAGTATGTTGCCCAAATAAAGTTCAGTGTTAATGAATTATAATTTTTATGAATATTTAATATCGTATTAAACCGGTTACGGAAAATAATAGTTATATTACAATTTTTAGATGAAAATCGTTTGGGTGAAATCGCCCGAGCAAAGCTCTTTATGAATTTGATTGTTCTTCATCCATACGAAACTAATCTGATCGAACCGTATTTGAGAATATTTTTTTTTTTAACTATGCCACAAACACTATCTTACGATTTTTTCACCCTATCCGATCATAAATTTTTATTAGTATTTTTTGATCGAATTCGATTTATATTTTTTGTTATTGTTATTTTTGCAAAGAAAAATAGTATATATTTGACTCGGTTTTAACTGGTATCATTTTACTGAAAAAAGTTAAAGTCAACTTTTTCCTGCATTTGTTTCAAAAAATTCTCATTTTCTCGAAACTTTTATTATAAAAGTCATAACTGGTTGGGCCCGTGCTGATGTATAGTGCAGAAGCATAGACAATGAAAATATAAATCTGATAAGGCGGGTCTTGGAATTTTCTTGGCTATTTCGTTCCCTTGTACATTACTATGTACAGGACCCATGCACAGAGAGGTTTTGACGTGACTCAGTGAAGCCAGCGTCGCACGATATTTCCGAACTGCTTCCACTTAACTACCTTGGTGCCTAATACTTTGAATGCCGCCTGGCTATCAACGAATATAGTGACGTTCCCTGACGGAGACAATCCGCCTTTCTATGGAGAAAATGTCTCCCTGAAAGACACTAAAGTTATCAGGCAGGCGATATGATTGCCTTATTTGTAGATCCTTGGAATACAGACCCAAGCCGAATCCTTGTTTCATCTTTGAACCATTGGTGTAGATGGAAATACCATCATTTACCGATAAGAGGCCACCTTCCCAATATTCTCGGGTTGGAAAGTGTATGGGAATCTTAAAACTAAAATCCCAGGATGACGTGTGGTAGTCAGTTTCGACATCTACATAAGTTCGCCTTGACTCCGTTACGCCATCCACTATTAACTATCTTCAAAACCGCTGCGTGCACGTAGTTGGTCTGCTTACACAGTTTTTATTCCCTCAGTCTAAGGGCCCCTAATCCGGTCCAGAATAATCCGATTTTTGTTTACCTTGTGAACAATACCAGTTCGGTTTTGGAAGAGTTAACTCCTAGCCCATTTTGTTTTGCCCAGTTGGAAACAGTGCCCAGTGCCGATTCCATCAGCCCACTAAATGTTGGCAAGAATTAGTATAGCAAGTATCCTCTTCGTCCCTTATGAGTAGGTCAAGCGTTTTTAGTATGAACAATAAGACTTATTGGTCTAAAATCCTTTGGGGAGGAGTGGTTTGCCTTCTTTGCATTTGGAATAAATATCACCCTGACCTCCCTTCAAACTTTGGGTACGTACTGATCAGCCAAGCATCTTGTAAATACACTGAACCACACTTTCACAGGAGTGTTGTAACATGACCGCTACGACCATCCGGTTCTGCGGACTTGTAAGGATCAAACGAGTTGATAGCCCATGTAACCTTCTCCTTGTTCACTAGCTCTTCATTCGACTTCCCGATGCACTGGCTAAGAGATATCCCTGTAAGCTATTTGAAACATACGTGCACCTTGGGAAGTATGCGTCCATCAAGGTTTCCAAGCTGGAATCGGTCCACGCGCCATCTAGCCTCCTGATGCTTGCTATTGCCTAATCAGTTTTAGAAAGATCCTTGTGATTCTTCCGTATTGGCTTGGATAATTATATCTCAAAGTCAGTGTTGAAGAGTATCCTACTATGGTTCGAAAATGAAGGGAGGTTTGAAACTCCCTCTTTTTGCCAAAAGATTATATTCATGGTATTCATCTAAACGCGTAAAGACCTCGTAAATCTCTTAAATTTTGGTTTTATGTGGTTTGTTTATGTAACTCTAAAATTTAAGTGTTTCATAAGTTTACACATTTAGACGAATATCTTCTACCCCTATTATCTTTTATGAAATATTATGTATGTATCCCTTAATCCGCAGACGAAATTTTGGAGAATATTTTTTTCCTTTAACTGCCCTTTTTTTAAAATAACCGCTCTAGTAGTTAACTGTTTCTTTGAAAAAAATTTTCGGCTAAATTTTACTACAGGTCTCCTAAGACAGTGGTGGTACAATGGTTGCCAAAACATATGAAACCACATCTGCGTTTCTAAGATTCTATCTATATCTTATCAACGACTTATTTGAGAAGTACTGGTTCTATATTGCACAATGATATTTAGTCGGCTCATTGCACTTTGAAATTATCAAAAATTACTATACGGTTGAGTCGTCTCCACACTTTTGTTATTGAATCTAGAATAAGCGTGGCCAAAACTGAAATAACTGCCGCTTTTTAAGACAGTTAATCGTTTTAGTATAATTGGGAAATTGGTGGTGATATAGTTATAGAACGAAATGTATATCGCCTACTGTCATTTTAGAAAAAATTGCATTCTATTGCCATTACTATGCCGTTTAATAAGTGCTATGTAAACTTTTAATAAATCTTTTGGAAATGCATACATACTTATTTTTGCATTAATGAATCCTTTGTTTGCCAAATTAATCTTGTTTCGACCTTCCATCTGGTATGTCACTCACCTATTTAAACCGCAATTTAGACGAAAGTGGTGTCGTCAAAAAAAAACGCCCATTCTTTCGATGCAACTGATTTGCAATTACGTAAATTGACTGCATTTTAGCTTATTTTTTTTTTAGATGATTTAAACGTTCAGCATCAATTAGGATCTAAAAAGTAAGCTTCGTGCCGGCATATTAAACTCTTGAAAAAGGTAAAATTGATGCTGGAAAAATATTGAAGGACATACACGTTGCTTGCATGCAGAAAGCTAAGCGTACATATTTTCCTAGTATGATGCAATACATTACCCTTCATTGTGAAAACATAAATGACTATATAAGCGAATGGGTAATACATATGCAGTAGAAAATTTTAATCTTAATGTTTGCTTTAAACTAGAAATAGCCCCTACTTAGGACCTACTTTTTCGATCGTGTAGGTCTCAAACTTGTTTCATCCCAGCAAGCACGCAATTTTTACATTACCAAACATTACTTTTTTCTCCACCTGTAGTTTTCCTCGAGAGGAAAGTTCTAAATTTATCTTTACTGGAAATATTCTATTTTTATTGCTGCTTCTTATCTAATCAATTCAAACTTTGTTTTCATCTTCAATTCGTTCACAGATAGAGGAAATCACCGAATGCATTGAAAACATTGAATTAATGCCAAATGATGAAGGGTCGCCAGCAGAGGTCAACAATATACAATCCGTTGAGTCGAATGCTGCAAATGAAGTATCGACGAACAACTTCACCAACGAAGTCGATAACGATGACAGTGTTGATATTGATGCTGACGCTGACGCGGATGGCGATGGCGATGGCGATGGAGACGGTGATGCCGATACACTAAGCGCAGATGGCACAAGTAGTTCCTTTGGCGCTAATACCGCAGAAAGCGCCACAAATAGCCGCACTAACATCACTACCAGCACAACCACCGTTTACACGGGGCATTTGTCAGTGTCATCATCGCCATCAGCTATGTCTACGTCGTTTCATACTGCTCCGCATATGAATGCGAATCAAAATGAACAGGCCAGCGGAAACGCGATGACTCGTCGACCTAGTTGTGACGCACCGTTACAGCAGCATCAACAGCAGCCGCTTTCAGCACCCCAGCCTCACAACGCCATCTATGCATCTCAATCGCATGCCCAGCGCGTTGGAGGCAGTCCGGCGCGTCGCAGCACATTCAACTTTAGCGCCATGCAGTATAACAGCCCAAGCGTGCTGGAACGTCGTAATTCAGGCGGTTACAGCGCTGCCGCCGCCGCACAACGCTCCTCGATGACCACGCCAGATAGCGGCATCAGCCAAACTCAGTCCTCACATTCATGCACGCCTGGCCCTTACAGTCCGCATCGGACCATCTCCACTCCAATACCAGCCAAAACCTATTGCGACAAGTCAGTGAACTCTTCACCGAAGCGCTTGGTATCCGCGCTCACTTCGCCGATAGAGCCTTTTGCGACGAATGTTGGCCGCGAGCATGCGCTCAAGCTGGAGATCGAGCAGTTGCAGGAGAAGTTAAAGGATACAGAGGAACGCCTGAAATCGCTGCGCATACAACACGATTCGCTGTCACAGCTGCATCGCGATTTGCGCGAAAGTAATACCAAACTACAGGAGGAGTCTGAAATGCTTAAATTAGATGTACAACATCTGAATGAATGTGCCAACATACTGCGAACCGAATTGAAAACGGCGCGTGCAGACCGGAATGAGGCGCTTGAGTTGCAAAAGTCGTTGCAAAGTGAGTTGGAGACGAGCAGGCAGGAGAAGAAGCGCGCGCAAGAGCTGAAGAACAAAGATGGCAAAACCATACAAGATCTGCACCGGCAATGCCGCGAAATGGAGCGTATATTGATGCGTAAACATCCGGACTCGGTGTCGGCACTAATTGGTGAGCGGATAAGTATTATTTTGTTCCGAAAAATCGTGTTGAACATAGTTCGATAAGAAAAAAATTAATACAACTCATTACTTCCGTTTTAGTCGCCTCCAAAAATCCAGGAAAATGTGCGAATAATGACCAGGAGAATGTGAACAGTCGAAAACTGTTAGAGCAGCGTATTGCGCAGCTGGAGTCGGACGCCAAGGAGCAAGATTTAAAAGCACAACAAATACTCGCTAACGTACAGGCGCGTTTCAACTCGGTGCAGTCCAAATACGAAACTCACATAGCGGATTTAGAGACGCAGGTGTTAAGGTAAGCGGCTTACGAATGTAAGAGTTTTTCGCACATTTAATTTTTGTTGATTGTTATAGCCTCCAGGAAATCAACACGAAACTAAATGAGAAGATAGAATCGCAAGTGCGCACCTTGGACTACTTCGTCTCGAAGAAAGCGGAAAACTTCTACAACAATTGCACACAAACAGACGCGAACGTCGTGCAGGTTGAAAATGAGGCAGGCTGCAGCGGCGATGTGACCAAACGCGCCAGCTTAAATACCGCTTTCAACACAGGCGGCGACGGCGTTGCGAATACGAATGCCAATGCCAATAGCTGCACCAGCTCAACCTCCACACAAACAATCGAAACGAAGAACACACGCGATCACAGCACAAATACAATTGGCACCTCCAGCGCTGTTCATTCGGCTAGTTCCAGCACCAGTAGCACCGCCAATTCAACGCCCAACACCTCACGGCCGAATTCGAAGCAAAGCGGCATACGCAAACCGCTAGTCACTGCAATGGGCACGCTGAGCTCAGCCTTGGCCTCGAAACTGCCCGTCTCACATTCGGACTTGTCAATTTCCGCGCATCATGCGCATGTAACGGCAAAGGAGGACGCACACTTGCTGGCCACCATACGAGGCATGCGCGTCGATTTGGCGATCAAGGACAAGGCAATGCAGCGACTAACGCGTGAATTAGAAGAGTGTAAGAAGACGATAAAGAAACTGCAACGTGAGAAAGACGGTGAGCGCGTAATTTTACATATTTATATAAATGTATATCCATATGTACGCATTTACACACATATACGAATGGGTGCATAAATGCATTGCGCAGGCGTACAGAAAACATACTTCATCGAAAATACTGAAATTTTCCATTATTTGCCGTATTCAATTATTTAATGTTTCGGCAACGCGCGTCGTGCATATCTATATAAATTCCCCTTGGTTTGTGATAGGCAGATCTATTTGCGGCGTTGATATATGGACTTTCTCTGCTCAATCGTAGACACGTACATAGAAATGACGCATTAAGCACGGTTATCGTGTTGTAAACTCTACCGCCATCCAATGCGTGTGCAACACGGCTGGGAGACATTTTCACAGCGCAGTGCGGGTGTACGCTATTCAATCACTTAGGCGCTTATTACTGGCGCAAGCAATGCACTCAGTTGGCATAAGTAGCGCACTTGTTTCGTTTTTGTTTAATCATCTATCCATTAGCGCACCTTTACCACGTGTCTCGCATTCAAAATGTGTTTTCGTCGTCGTCGATGTCACTGCTGGCGGCAACGATGTGGCTGTGCAGCGCATGTGTTAAAAAAAACGCTGTATTATGTCAGCGACCGTGACGCTTCGAAGCAAGACAACGCAGCGCGCAATATTGATCATCTCTATTTGGATTTGACTATTGTTAATAGCCTCTGTGAAGTGTGCGTTGTTTTGTTTTTGTTTCTTTTTTTTCGTGCGCACCAATTACTGGCGCTACAACGATGACAAGGGTTTTTTTGAAAGCGAAAGTAGCAAACATGGTTTTTTAGAGTTTCTTTGACAATATACATAACTTTATTTTGGTTTCTGTAAATTTATTGCCGGCTTATTTTGGACAAGATTTTTAATTACATGCGTATGTATGCATTTTGCTATTTTTCAAGCTGTTCCTATTTAAAATTCAAAAGTTGACTATGTATTTGATATTGATCGCGCTATCTGTTATGTAATAACTTCATTTAATAGTTTGATATCAGCCAAAATTATACATTAATTCAAATTAACGCATTGTTATGTCGTTAGTAAGGAAAGAAATGGAATTCGCAAGTTACATACATGCCTACATGCACATGTACATATGTCGAAAAAAAGTTACGAAAACTGTGGGGTCAAAGACTGCTACGAGCATGCTCGGAAGTAGAAAAAGAGCTTTTTAATTTTCTTACGAAACAGGTCGACGATAAACGACTATGTCTGCACGCGCTGTTTTGCGCCTGGTTTCGAGTAAAAAAAATTGGGTCGATAAAGAAACAGCTAACTATTATCTTAGTTTAAAAAATTACTTCGAGCGGATTTTGATTTACATCATAATTGCTCTCTAAAAACAGTCAAACATGAGTTTTCTTTTTAATCTCTTTATTTAATTACTTTCAAAGTGTGTTCACCTTAATTTCCTTCTTTGACAAGTGAATTTAATTATCTACCGTAATCTCAATTTTACAGGGCAATTCTGACAATTGAAGGAGAGTAGGCAAGATTGTTTGAAAGATGTTAATTATACCATGAACCAATAATACAAGATCGCCTAATCAAAGAAGCAAGAAAAAAGTATATTTCTGAGCGTTTTTGACATCTGCTCAAGAATGAAAACAAACAAAGAAAATGAAAAAGGCGCGGTGGTTGAGTGCGATTAGATTGGTATTTATTATAAAATATACAAACTGAAACTTGATGACAATTGGCAAAAAAAGTTCATAAAATATAGTTTTCATGATTGAAAGTGTTTTACAGTCGCATATCATTATCACGGGTCGATTTTTCAATGCCAACGTTCTGGCCACAAACGTGCACCCACTTTTCACGCAAATTTACGCCTTTTGGCAAACCAAACATACGCACAAGCTTGTTCCAATCACACGGCACTTCATTTTATATCATCAATATGTAATAAACCAAAATTTATAATTAAAATCGTTGCAGAAAACACATTCAACCGCTAAAAAATCACTACGAAGAGGTAGAAGACGGTGTAAACAAAACCGAAAAATGTCAAAAACGCTACGAAAACTTTTTTCTGAAAATCGATTACAAATACAACGATGGCTGATTATGTGATATGTAGTCGTTGGTTCATGTTGATTATACTATACCACGAAAGTCTTACAAAAAAAAAGCAAAAAATACCTGAGCATGCATTTTTTTGATTTTCTTTTTCTAAAAATTTCTTTTAATTTTTAGTTTCTATTGATTTAAAAAGAAAAATATAAGAAAATAAATTTTTTTTTCTGTAAATTTCCATATAAAATTCAATAAATTAAAATCATTTTTCACTTAAATTGCTTTCGTAAAGAGATGAAGAAAATTTCTTATAGCCATTTTCTTCAAATATTTCGCTAAACTTTGAATGCACGATTTTGCGTGCTTAAGGCGCGGCAAAACTCCATACGAATCAGAAGGATTCGGTCTTTACTAAAAGATTTCGTATTATTTTGGCTTTTATTGGATATTCGTTGCATCTTTTGGCCTAAGAAAATTTGCCTTTGATTGAATATAAACGGGGGAAAAATAAAACAAATACCTTAACCATTTTTATGAGTTTTCTTAAAAAGTGGACTTAGCAACTTTTCAATCTAAGATAGCGATATATTTTTGATTTCATTTTTATTTTAGAAATTTATTCTATGACGTGTTTTGTTTTTTTTACATAAATTTTTGCTTTTTAATTTAGTTTTTTATTAATATTTGAATTTTATTGTTTTAAAGAGAAAAATATATTTTTTTAAATTTCATTTAATTATTAAAAACATTTAATTTTTTATTTATTTTTCTTTTATTTTATTAAATTATTAAGATAAATGATTATTTTTTAATATTTTATTTAATTTTCTTTAAATGTTATTGTTCGAGGTACTTATTTTATTATTTTAATTTATTTGTTTTTTGGATTTTAATTTTTAATTTTTAGATTTTAGTGGTTTAGGAAGAAAACAATTTTTTTGTATGACATTTAATTTTTACATTCTTTTTATTTATATTCTCTTTTTTAATGAAATTTTTTTAATTTTAAGTTAATTATTTTTTTAATTTTTAGTTTTTATTGTTTTAAAAAGAAAAAAATGTTGGATTTCTTTTTATTTAATTTAAATTTTGGAAAAGTTATTGCTGAAAGGCAGACAGAATAGCCTCAAGACCTCCTCGTTAGCAAATCTTTCAATTAAGCTTTCGGAAGGCAGAAAAGTGCTTTCAAAATGGTTGCCAGAATTGACAATTTTCTTACGAAAATTCTTGTCTTTCGAAAGACAATAGTGAGTTTATTTGCCAGAATTACTCTCTTAGTTAACATAAAAATACCTTTTTAACGATCTATCAACCGAAAGAAACCAATTTTCGATCGCAGTCATAAATCGGTTTGCAGGAAATTTTCCATGTACATACATATTTATATGTATGTTTTTTTCAGTACCACTATACCTCCTCGGAGTTCGTTACGTCACCGTTTTGTACTAAAGTTTGACAAAAATATTACTTTTGTTGGTTTTCATCACTTCTCATTCTCTTCTCATAAGTATATAAAATCTTAAAAAAGTCATATGCCTAATGATTATATTCTCTAAATAGAGAACTACTTATATTGTTACCATTACTTGCGTTGAATTTGTACGCTCCAAAAGCAGCAGTGCCGCTTTTGAAGAGAGTGTGCGTTTTATTGCGTCGTAAAAAGTAGTTGCTGAAATTTTCCAATACCTAACCGAAAGTCGGAATTGATTTAGTTGTACAAAGCCATTTATGTATATGTCTTTAAGGAGCTTTTACTATACTGTGGTGGTTTATTTAAGTTATTCAGTTCGCATAACAGCTTAGAATGAAGTTTCAGTTGTACCTGTACTCGATGTTGGAAAAGTTACTTTCATTCTTGTATTGGTCTTTTTCTAAGTGCTATTCTTTAACCTTTTATTAGCATGTTTTTGTTAAATTAATACCATGTGCATACACTCAAGAAGCAATTGTTTCAGCCGCAACCATTTCCGTGTGCAATTTCCGTTGAATTTGCCGATTTAATCCCAACCAACCAACCGGCGCTAAAGAAGTTTCACTTCAAAACTGATGCAAATATTTAGCTCATATTAGCCCTTGTACATATTTATTTAAACATATATACGGGCATATATAAATGCATACTAATATACAATACTTAACACTTTTTCTTGCACTTCTCTTCATATACATATGTAGCACTTAAATCGGATAAGTCGCAGTGGAACAGCTATACTTGCCTAGGCATGTCACGACGCAGCTACGATTCACAGCATTATAGCCAAGCGCATAGCGAACAAATGCCAGCCACCACGGAGAGTCAAGCGTTGCGGGAAGCGCAAAATAAGCTTAAGCTACTTGAATCGGACTATAAAGTGCTACATGATAAGCGTTTAAGCGATGTAAGTACTGCATAAGCATAATTTATATTACACAAATACGTACATACATACATATCGTTTTAGACCTTATTAACAATTTTGAACCTATCTACATGTTAACATATGTATTTTCCTCATTTTCTTGTCACTTTAATTATATAGTTGAAAACGCTACAAAGTGCCCATGAACGTGAGTTGGCCTCGTGTCATGAAACGGTGCGTGTCTTGCAGCAGCGCCTAAATGAACGCGACGAAGCGTTTGCCACACAAAAGCGCCGCAAATTGCCAGTCGACTACTATGCGTTGAAAGCTAAGGTGAGTGGGACGAATACTACTAGTAGTGGTGGTGGTGGTGGTATAGTCGATAATGATAGAAACAACCACAATCAAATGCAAACGGGATTTGAAGAAGAGATTGAAAGCTGCCGTAGCAGCAACTCTGGCCCCTTTGCGGTAAAGAAGAAACAGAAGTTGACCAAAAGACGATCTGCATGTGCGCATGTCTGAATGCAACAAAAAGCATAGAAATCAAATCACAAAAAAACAAAAACGTCCTATGAAATGCAACAATTTGCCAAAAGTCATACAATGAAAAATGAATCAGACAAATGCGAACAAGTGTTATGTGTACATAACTGCCAACTACAATGTACTTAAAAATTAATTTATCAGTTTTTGTTGGCGTTTATATGATTTTTGTTGCTTTTTAATTGCCATATAATTTTTTCTTAACACTTTACTGGTACTTTTTTAACTGCCGCTTTTGATTGTTATATATGTATGTTCAAAGGTATATATGTATGTGCTTTTGCATTTTTTATGGCTTTTAAAGCGGTACTTTTATGTTTGCTTTGCCATTTATGCAGTTTTCTTCCACTTTAATTCAGTTGTTAACTATTTATTTGCCGTTACGCATTTTTTCGCTTGTATCTTCATTTATCATTTAATTTATAAGCATAGCTAATTGCTTTTACGTAATCATAATTTCTTGTGCTGCGCTTCTTTCTACGAAGCTCGGATTCATCCCCGGCACGTAATATCAATGCGTCGTTGCTCTGTCATATAAATGCGTATTACGAAATAATTTTTTTTTTCTGGTTAAATGCATCAATGGCTATTATAGTTGTCATTTTATGGTGGAAATTTAATTTGCTCACATGTAACAGGAATTTTGTGGGTTAATTGTATCTTAATAATGGTTTCTTATGTTTTGTTTACAATTGTTTGTTTTTTTCTTACATAAACACAGGTCTCTTCGTTAGAGCGACGCCATTCAGAGCGCGAGGAACGTTTGCGGATGCTGGTAGATGCGCTGAGCAAAGGACGTCTAACTGGCGCCATTGAAGATCTGCTTGGTGACAACAATAATCAACGTAGTACCTAAAAGTGCGCTTGAATGAAAATCACGGTACAAAAGAAGAAATCAAAATGTAATCATCAATTAGCCTGGTTGTGGCTTCGAGCTGATCTCCCAACAAAAGCACCCTTTATATGTATGTATGATGATAACATTGCTAGCATAGCAAGTAGCTAATAAAGTGAAAGCACAAACGCGCAGTATTAAATACCAGTGCCCGCCCATATACAGAGTTGCCCCCACACAACGCCCATTTCCAAAGTACAACTTTTAGTTTTAGTTGTAATATTTTAAAAACTAATTTAAGTCTTTGACTGGTTTTATGCCCCGTGGCGCTTTTTTTAAATTAAACCTGTTTTAATATATTGAAAAGCGCAGCAATAAGTTTCCATCCAATTGCATAAGAATATATAACGAATAAAAAGAAATAGAGTTAAAGCTCAAACGACAAGAATTTTAAATTATAAATTTAATTTAAGTAGTTAAGAGTTGTGAACAGAAATTGCAAATTGTCCAAGAAATTATTTTGCAAAATAAACATCAATTAAAAAATTGTCCATAAAGCGCTTGAAAGCAAAACCAAATTTGACTGAATTTATACACATTCCAAAATGTGTTTAGAGTGAAGTAGGGTACGACGGATTTTAATTATATAGATGTATGTACATCTGTACTAGATAAGATGTGTGTGTAAGTAGTTATAAAATGAAGAAATGTACAATATTTGGATAACGTGTAAGAAATTCATTAATTAACATCACAATCTTTCGATAAGGCATTACAAACTTTGCACTAACCCTATTTTCTTGCTAGAGATATGCTTATCATATAAAAAACACGTTAAGAATGTTTTTAAACAAGCTGACATTTTCTCGATGTTTTAACTTTTACGTTTGTATCTAAACAACCAAGCATGCCCAGTCAAAGAAATCTCCTGAGCGTGACATTGCAGACAAATTTCTCCAAGCACGCCTCAACGATGAGTCTGAGAGCGCACGTTCACCCGACTAATAAAGTGTGATCGTTGTTTTGTACCAAGTCCGCAGCTGTTGCAGTTATTTCGCACTGGCGAATAGTCATATCCAACACTATTGTCCCTGATAATCGCTTAATGCGTCCTCTAAAAAAGCGAATCTTTGGACAATGAAAGATAGTCTAGCAGAAAGCAAAAAGACCAAATTACGGTCTGTAGCAGGCTAAATGTTGTAACTACCCAGACTAGACCCTGACCCGTTTCCTGTGTCTATCGTTAGTTGTAAATTTAAACTTGAGATAAGGGACGACGATTTAAGTGCATACGATCTGACTCTAGACAGGGTTAAGTATTTATCCGCTAAAACAAACACAAGAAAAGGCCGCCGCCTAAGAAACGAAAGACAGACTTTATTAATTTGATCTCTCTGGCTTTGAATAAAAATTGTTGGGTCGGTCCAGACCAGTATCAATTTCATTAGAAATATCATTTATTTGGTTGGCAATATTGTAATACGCCAGCACACTACCATGTTTGTCTAAAAGTGTTCATAATACATCGAACTTGCGAGCGCTGGTAAAAACTCTCCTTTCAATTGCCAAGAATCCAGCAGGTGATGTATTTTGCCAACAAACAATATAGAAGAAAATAACATTATAAACAATAGAATTTTGACTTTAAAATTTTAATCTCGCTATGTTTAATTCAGTAGCTATATTCATAAATTGGCGCTAATCGCTGACCCACTGTTTTTCAAAAAACTATTGTACATATATATTAAAATTATTGAGATATTTGTTTTTATTGCTATGAAATTTTTTATCAACCAAAAACTAAAAAGAAATCAGCTACTTTAAAAAAGTATGTAGCACAAATATAAATTATTCGTATATAGAATAAATGAAATTAATCAAAGGAGAAACATACTTGCCAATAAATAAGCAGTAAGCGAATGCCAAAATATGCGATTTTGAAACCGTCAGTTTCCTTCCAGAAACACTTCATATGTATGTATGATTATTATGTAGAATTAATACCTAAAATGATATTAAGTAAATACTCGTACATACCATACAAATAGTTGCGTGTTATTTTTACGGTAGTGCATAGCAATGCTAAAATTAATGAAATGATACCAAACAAAGAAAAAAATGAGAAAGTTCAACCTAACCATAAAATTTCCCCGCACTTGATTAGCAAAGTGCAGATAACAAATAAAATTGAAATGAAAAATAACTAATTATTAATTAAAATTCGCCAATTCCAGCATACTTACACGCTGACCTTTAACTAGAATCTGTTCTTAATTGCATACATTTCTTACCAGTGGTAGTTGTCACTAATGAATGAAGTCTATGCATTCATATTATGCAAATACCGCATAATTAATGAATGCAAGTTGGTCGGCATTGTTTCTCAGTTTTTAAAAGGAATACTCCAATCAACCAAAATATTTCTATAAGTATCACTCATAAATAGTCTTTTCCAGTTGTAATCTTAACAAAAGTAAATTGTGTGCAACCCAACATGCAAATAAGTACTTATATAAAAAAACCTACCTATGTAAGTTTATTTATGGTTTCAATTAACTCACCTTCTTACTAGTATTTAAGAAAAGACTTCCCTAAATATTTTTTTGCTTAATTTCGTTAAACGTATTTTCTTTTTTAATTATGGTAAAAAAAAAATTATGGAATTGGAAACGTATGCACATAGTACAGTTGTTCACAAAATAATGGGAGTGCGATATTTTGACCAGTTTTGAGTATTTTCTTTTGTCTGTTTAAGGTTTATTAATTTTTGGAAAAAGTATAGCTCATTGTCTATCCAACGCCATATAAATCCAAATTTCAAATTTTATGAAAACAAACTATAAAAATTCAACAAATTTTCGTCAGTCCTTTTCTTTTCATACAAAGGATGCTAGACAAGTTTTTTAAATGGAAGAAAATGACTAGCATCGTCAACAAAAAAATTTGCAAAGTATATTTTAGCTATACTTTAAAAAAAAATCAACAAACATTAAACAAACGAAAGAAAAAAGTTAAAACTATTAAACATACCGCACTCCTAACATTTTGTGTACAACTGATGTCTAAAGACATTCCGGTTTTATAAGTAAGTCTTACTTCGTTCACAGTATTTTAGAAGTGAATCAAAATTAGTAAATTTCTTAGCACCATAATTTAATTGTGTTCTGTAGTGCTTTGAAATATTGGCCCCTATTATGAGTTGCATTCGATTTTCGACTGTGGTCGAAAGTGCTGAGCGAACGAATTTTCATTTGGTATTATGGCGCTCATTCGATGAAGAATAGCGCTATTGTGAATTTCGCTCGTTTAGGTTGTTCACAATAGTATATTTTTCACCGCTGAGAAGCTTTGTTTACAAATCGAGCAAACTAAATATTGTGCTTATACATATTTATGTAAATTTGTTCTAATTAAAATGAAGTAAAAAAGAAAGCAAGTTTATAAAAACGTGGTAAAATGAGTACAACGAGTTCTGGTTCAACGATTCGTCAGAGGATGAGAGCTAAGTAAACTGGCCAGGAGTAGCAAATGTTTAAGAGAGTTTAAGTTTATTAGTCTTTCGAATATATTTTGATATAAAATATATTTAAGAAATTTGTCTACAGATTCATTAAAAAGTTCCGACCATCTAAAGAAGCGTTTGTGAGCCAAATCTATTTAAAATATTTTAAAACTATCAACAGCGCTACGATTTTGTTCTCAGAGATCGCGCCAACAGAGTATTGGGATTTTCTTTCACAAGTAAAACCAGCCTTTCGAGCTTGTGTTTAGTATTCACGATGTTAGAACTGCATGAAATTAATAAAAAGTGTTTAAAATTAGTGTCTAGCCGCCAAAATGTAAGAAAATATATACAAAATCATACATTTTTAACAATTTTCTAACACTTCGCTACACCATCGAAAGTAAAATTCTGTTCGACAGAAAATTCGATACTCAACGAAAATTTCGACACGCTTGCATAGCTCATAATACGAATTTCACTTTCGATCTTCGATCTTCGATAGCCAGCGAAGATCGAAAATCGAATGCAGCTCATAATAAGGGCCATTATATTGTGTAAAATATTCGTAAAGAATTTTGTAAGTTGTATTAAAATAATGCTGTATATTTACAATACGAATAATATTACAATAAATAAATAAGTTCAAAAAGTTCAAGAAAAAATAAAATATTCTAGTTAGTTATTTGAAGTAAGGCAGATGAAGATACCAGTCCATACGACAGGCGATATACACACACATCTAACCAAATTACTGCTACTTCAGCAACACTTTCCAAAAACTCTTTTTCGAGAATTTTTATGCTGTTACAGGAAACAAAAACAACAACAACAACATACTACTAGTTCGTGTTCGACTGACAAGTCATTATTGTCGGATTCAGTTGTGTCGAATGCAAGTCGTTTTTCGAGAGTCGAATCGTATCGAAAATTTTATGTCATTGCCTAAAATCTCCACTCGGCTAGTGTATTAAAACGGAAAAAATTGGAGCACGGCATAGTTTTCGACGATTTTCGCCGTTTACTTATTTGCAGCACGACAGTATACAATACCAATGTTGTCGGGTGGTACAATTTACCTTAATATACGCCTTACGCAATGAGGCTGATTAAATATTGCTGTTCGAGAGCTCTCTTTGTGTTGAATTGTCTACGTACATTTAATGTTTTGGTGCATTTTTTGTGCAATCGACTGTCGCTTTCGACTCTGGTTATATTTAACTTCATATTTTTAAAGGCAAGTTTTACTAATTTGTTAATAAAAAGTAACATATTAAACTATTTTAATTTTTGAACTTAACAAAATTAATCTAAGTATTAAGAATCAATTTCTCGGTGGTATGTATAATTTTTCACTTCACACGGTATGTGCTTTTTTATTTTATTCAATTTACAGCAATAAAATACACTAGAGGATAATTATCTTGATATACAAGCGATCTAATCACCAAGAAGGTGTAAATTAGAGATGGTATTCTATCGGAATCCGCAATAAAATTTAAAATGCAAATCCCCGATTTATAACACCTTGCCAAACATATCTCATCATAAGTTTTCGAAAACGAATTACAAAAAATTTCGAACGAAAAATTACACTGTAGATGACACAACGCCGAAACCGGGATGACGGAAATTCGTTCCAAAATAAAACAAAAAATTTCTCGAACATGTGTTAGCTTATTTCACGTATAGAACCCATACAAAATTTGAACCGAATCGGAGATATGACATATTTTTTTTACGAAATCTGTCCGACTTAAAAAAGAATAGCTCATATGTAAGTTTCCGGATTGCTTAAAATTTAGTGCAAAGTTTAAACAAAATGCATGGCTTAAAGTATACAGGATATTTTTAACTAAATATTCGAAAATTATTGTTATTTTTAATTTTGCTCTCATTTATTTAATGAACAAATTATATACCAATCGAAAGTATTAAGCCGATAGAATGAGAAAACATCGGGTTGTCTATTTTTTCCTGGCTTACTTAGTGGGTTGGCAGGTATGTATTGACAGGTAAGTAATAATAGTAATTTGCACTAATCTGTTTAACAGCCGACCCACTTCTTAACACGTAAAATTTCATACAAAATAGATTTGAAGCATTAAAGAGTGGGGTGAAGGTCGTGCCTTATTTGGGTCTTCTACTATCAGAATTTTTAGAAAAAATTTTGATTGCAATTTTGTAGCGCATAAAATTTGTACCGTTGATTTTTGGAAATTTGTTTGCTAGCGGATGTTCGACAATTTTCGAAATTCCTAAGCTCCTAGTTACTTTAAACATGCAATTTTTTATATTAAAATTTAATGGGCACTTTAAAGCCATAGCATAGCTATGTAGCTTTTTTTATTCCGAATAAAAAAATTGCCATCTCCCTGATGAAATAAAATACTCAAATTCCACTTCACCCAACAAATATATTAATTGCGTATATTTTTTTAATTAAAAGCATACATTCATAAGTTTCATAGTTTAACAATAAAGTGTACACAAGTACAGACAGATTTTTTTTTTGTTCTTAAAATCTCATTTGCCCAAAAATTATGCATTTTATATTTGTATATTTCTTGTATCGCCGTATTGGTGCATTTATACACACAAATAATAATTATGTAAGTGTATTCAGTTAACCACAAATAGTTGTACGTATGTGAATATATATATATATTTTTTAAATTTCGATGCCAAAATTGTTGTATTCCGCAATCAAGTTTTAAAATTTATTTTTGTAATCCCAAACAACAGCAACATGTTTTAACGTCTGTAAATATAAATATGTACGTATATATCTAAGGATTAAGGGCTGAATAGAGCATAACAAATTTTAATTAATACACACACAATGTTTTATCTTGCAATATATATTCTTTTTTTGTAATTTACAATTTTACACACATATTCATTTGGTATATAATATTCTCCTTAGCTTTTAAAGATTTTACTTTTTCTTTTGCAACAAGTAGTAAGTTTTGGTTAATACATACATATATATTTTTGGAGTTTATTATGCAAAGTAGGTAGCATAATTTTTTATACATATGTGGCATATTTTATTAAAAATTTACGCATCTGTATTTGTTTTTATATGCTTAGTTTCTTTATTGTGATTCACATTTCCATCTAGTAGGGTAGTCCAATTTACAACGCTCGAAAGTTATCCGTTTCATACGATATTTGCAACAAATAAATACAAAATAAAACTATAGATGCATTTAGCACTGCGCGCAAAACTTTTTTAAGGAATCAGTCCATGATACATACATATTTTAAAATTGAGAAAGTGTTGTTTTTTTTAGTTGTTTAAAAAGTTTACAACGAATTTTTTCATAAGTGGATGGTTTCGGCTGACATCGGCTGCGCAAAATATTGTACATTTCCATATATAAATTATATTTTAGGTAGATTGAAAAACATAAACGATAATGAGGTGAAGATTTTGGCATCCTAGGCCCTTAGGTATTTGTTATCCTGCAAAAAGGAAATAAGTTTATCATAAAGAACAGTAATGTTTTGCAGGGCAGCAAGCCTGCAATTAAAAAAAATATTCGTAATTTTATAATATAGTTTTGCAACCAAAATTCAAAGCGTAATTTAATAAGAAACTGTTGTTCAGTTTTCATTTGAACTGAACCGAATAAATTCAATCTGTAGTTTTCGGCTCGGTTCTAGTAATTTAAAACAAAAAAAACGTTCCGTTTATAGCCCAAATGCGTCAATGGTTCGATTCAAAGACAGCTTTTTTTCAAAACCGGTTTGCTGCCCCTATAAAAATAAAAGATTTCTGTTTCAATCTTTATAATTAAAGCTCTATACATTCAGTGATGGGCATACAAAAATAATTTTGAATTAAAGTTGTCGTTTATTTAGTAAAGTTTTTACTTAAGTAAAAAAGCATTTGCAATTACTGGTTTTGTTTCCTAACGCAACGCTGGATGCCCGCAATAGCCCAGAAATCGTTCCCGTACTCAACAAAATGGGCAATGGAGAACGCATGCATTCCTCAGTTGGATCGTAAATGCTTTCTTCTTCGTGCCCGAAATAGCCCGGACTTTTTCTCCGGCAAAAATTGATAAAGTGTCGAAAGTGCATATCAGCTGTTTTGTGTTTCTATGTTGCTTGTCTTTAATTTGTGCTTTTAACGGCCCGTCTCCACAGGCAAAATTTTTTGCCTTCAAAATGTCATTTTTATTGCCTGACATAAATTTGTATGTGGACATTTTTTATTTCGATAACAGCATTTATAAGATGGCTATTTTTGCCGGTTAATCACTTAAAAAATTTAAAAAATATGCTATTTCACTCCCAAATACATAATAACAAATATTTTAATAGAAAACAGCTCAATTTTTGCTTTTATATTAAAGTATCGATCATGTTGCCGCCACGAAGTCATCGCGCATATGTAAATGTAGCTGTCAAAGTACCAAATTGCTAGCAATATTTATCAAGATAAAAGCTCTGATAATTGTTGCTTGCCAGGAGCAATATGCGGTCTCCATTGGCAATATTTTGCCTGATAACATTATCAAGATAAAAACTTTTGCCTGTGGAGACAGCAAGTAAGGAATAGTGAATGACCCGTTGGATGCATTTTCAATCCTTATGTACTTATTTAAATTTGTAAAACCAAAATTCAATTTCCAACTGTTTGCACTTAAGTGGAAACAACAAAAAACCACGTAAATCAGCTCTTTCTCAAACTCTGGCACGAAATGTGGTTTTTTGCATTCCCGCACTTTTGGATATTTTACCGTTTTTGAGAGCAACCTTATCGCTTACTCTCTAATTACCGAATCCGGTCCGGATTGTACGGGAATGAAACTACTATTTGAGGTGCCAAAGTACGAATGAATTGAGTAGATTTCTTAATATTAAACGGTTAAGGAAAATAAACAATAATCGGTGATTTTTTTTTATTTATTTCATAAATTAGCAAAATAATGAAATTCATCGTGAGTTTTGATACTTTTCAAGTTTTTTTTTTAAATTGTTTGTATTTTTTTTTTCTGGATTCTTCGTGTCTTATTTTTCCGGAGTATTTTTAGAACTTTAGCAATTTTTCGGGAGATTTTTTTTTATTTTTATGGGATTATTCGGTACTTTTTTGGGACTTTCGGAATTATCTCGGAGTTTCCGGGAGTCTTTCGTCCTGTTTGGAACTTCTCGGGATTACTTTTGTATACTTTTTTTATGTATGTTACCGCATAACTTTGCACCACGTTAACCGATTTCTTTTTTTAAAGGAAAGGTGGTCCGATTCTAATTTGGTTTAAATTCGATCATTGGATCAGGAAGAGATTAACGATAATCTTAAATTTTCATACGAAAATTGAAGTCGGTTTTGTTTTTTGCTTAAAAATTACTTGTTTTCTAACCGGTCTATCATCGTAAAAATATCTTTAATTCTCTGTGTAGAGGCTTTTGAGTCGACATTTTTGGTTTTTGCTAACGGGACTTAAACCGTTGATATAATTTGAATGTTTTCATTCTCAAAATTTCATTCGTTATATTTATGGAGCATTTTTGGGTGACAATTTTTTCAGAGAACTCAGCAAAACTTTTGTTAAATGGAGTTTTTCGTTTTATCAAGGTTCGTTATGTCGACGATTCACTGTAAATGTATATTTATGTATTATTATGTATATTGATTGAATTTTGCAATTTTAATATAATCATTAAGATTTTCACTACATCTTGTGACTGTCCGAAGTATGTAATGAAAACAATTTACTTTTAGCGACAAAGTATGCATGGGTGGTATAAAAATATACGCGGGGAAAAAAGTTTAAAATTAAAGTTAAAATGTTAAGGGGCGAATCTTAAGATTTTTCTAAATGGATAAAAAAATATCCGTATTTTTTTGTTAAAAAAAAGTATATATTTAAAACTGCCTCAAAGCAAAGCAACTTTTTCGTAGAAATGGTATAGAATTCTTGAAAATAAATATTTTTCGATTGAAAACCTCTTCTTCTTTGTAGGAGACTTCCAATAACAATACCCAATTTTTATTTAACCATATTTTAATATTACCTATTTTTTAAAGGTACCACATAAACCACAAAAAAGCAATGGGAAGACAACTGGGTTCTATTATTGGAAGTCTACTGAAAAGAAATGAAAATATTAAGTTCTATACCATTTTTACGAAAAAGTGTTTTTCCCCGTATAAATATATACATATTTTTTTTTACAAAAAAATACTGGTATTCTTTTTTTTTCAATTAGAAAAATCCTATGAGGTTAGAACTTAATATTTAAAACTTTTTTCAAACCTAACTGGTTATTGGGCTATCTAGTTATGTAGTGAAATTCAGAATTTTATTACAGTCCTATTCTAAAAAAGTCACAAAACTCAGCGCATCATTATTGTAATTTATACTGCGCCTCAAAGTATGACGCTACAACAAATAGGTATGTCACTAAAAAAAAATTTTTTTTTTTTTTTCATTTCCTTAGACTTAAAATCTAGTTTTTGTGTAATTTTTTAAGGCGCAGTACAAATCACAATAGTGAGGCGCTGATGTTTGTGGCTTTGTTAGATTAGGCGGTTAGTTTCCAAAACTATTAACCAGAAAGGTGTGATGAATACTGCCACATTTTATTTCACGATGGAATTTAGCGACACCACTTTCGAACTCACCCATTTTTACCCACTTTGCTCCTCTTCACTTTACTACAATTGAGTTTCCGCAGCGACAATCAGCACCACGTTTAGTTCGCCACAAGTAGCTGGTAATCTATACACTAAACTCTAAGTCAGCGTAAATTGCCACTTTTATACTTTTTCCACAGCTAAGCAAATCCTTTACACATATTGCATAATACACAGCATAGGGTCGAAGCGCTTCCGTTAATACAATTTAAATTTTCCGCCTAACTGAGTGCCAAGTAATTCTTTTTAGCTACGCTACATCGGCGTTTAAAAGAAAGAAAAAAAAATTAATCATTACGATTAAATTTCGTTTGATTGGATTCTTCTTATCACAAATGTGCACCAGCAGGCAGGACATAGCCCGCAGCCAGGATACCGCTAGCACGTTGTGCTGTTAAGAAAGTGTGAAGTGCGTGTGAGTTTAGTTTTGTTAGTGGATTGCTTGTTAACTCCGTTTTTATGTATGTAGTTGCAATTTTGTTTGTGGCAATCGACTCCTTTGTGCCGCTCGAATGCTTCTTCAATGTAATAAAGTAGAAAATAATGAATGAAAATCAGTTTATGAATGAAATAGATGAACATGCATAAGTATGTGTGTACCTTTTTTTTAAGGGTTCAAAAATAGATTTGTACTAATATATTATTTGGGGCATATGCATACACATATAACAAAGCATGTGTCATAACGCTTTATTGTTTGCAGTTAAAAAAAAAAAATTACGAAATGTATTGACGTCATGAAATTAATTTATAAGTAAAAGTAGCTGGTAGAAAATTGAGTGTATTCCATGATTATAACAGGGGTAATAAGAGGGAGATGAAGGATATGACACTGGCTTTTTTGCTTTAATTTATTTTCTTCATCAATTGTGCGTATCATAACTTTGCCCATTTATCTTAATATTTTTTAGTTATAATTATTTGTTTATAAAAATATAGTATTTTCTTTAACAAAAGTCATGAACATAAATCCAAGCTTCAATTATTGTGCAACATTTAAAAAAAATCAACAAACTTTCGTAAAAGTTTATGGCCCTATTTATAAAAAATAAATTTAATGACTTTATAAAGAGACATTTTCATAAAAATTTTATGTTTATAAACCAATAAAGTCGAATTTATTTTTTATGAATTTGGATGTTAGAGTTTTTTAATAAAATTTTTTAGAAATATTTTGAGTATGCAGTTTTGTAGTACAACGAACTTGAAACTTGGCTACAAAATGCCGTTGATTTTATGATTTTTTATTTTTTTTTTGTTGAGGATGTCGGCCATTTTCTTCCATACAAAGTATGGTCGACAAAAAAAAAATAAAAATTGTCAAAAATCAACGGCATTTTGCGGCCACTTGAAACTTTCGCTTTGTTATACTAAATTTGAGTTGAAACTGCGTACTCAAAATATTTATAAAAAATTTAATCAAAAAGCTAGAAGTTTTAACGAAAGTTTTTTTTTGGTGTTGGTTACGGCGTTTGAAATGTGAATATATATGGTGTTAAGTATTACATATTATTAACTGGGCTTTAATAAAAAATTAATAAGCATTAAACAAACGAAAGGAAAATAGTCAAACTGGTCGAGATGTCTGTCGCCTCCCTTTTTTATATAACAGTATTGAGCATGCATTTTTATAACATGTTTCCACTGTGTATAAAAAAATTTAGGCACGAAACCCCAAGAAGTCCCGATAATCCTGAAATCCTGAAGAATTTCGAAGATCCCAAAAAGTCCGGAAAACCTAAAAATAGTCCCGAAAACAAAATATCTCGAAAAGTATTACACTAAAAATGCCAAATAGTTCTGAAAACCTAAAGAAAAAGCCAAAAAATAACCAAAGTTTTAATCTAAAAAAATAATAAAATAAAATAAAATTCCCCAAATAGTTTTTATAAATGAGTTGTTTAATAAAACTTAAACAAAATGGCGTATGTCACTTCATATCTCTTGTACTTAAATGACCGGTTACTTGTAACCGAATGCATCTGTAAATCGCTATATCGTCATAACCTAATGACAAAATCTTTTCCCTTTCGGTGAACGAATAACCGACGCGTTGAGATACAAGTAACCTGCCATTGCAGCAAAAGAGGTGGAAAGTGATTTATGCCACTTTAAAAATAAAAACTTGTTAAATAAGCAATTGGGTATTATTTTTTTTTTAATTCTGAAGAGAAACAGAGTTTTCCGATTAAAAAATATTGATTTTTAAGGATTCTATTCCATTTCTACGAAAAATAGTTTTTCCCATATAAAAAGCACGGGCAACTTTGAGTGATTTTGAGTGGCCTCTAAACATTTTTTGAATGAAAAAAAACAGGGGGTATATACATATTTTTTTTTATTATATAGAACAAGGCTAGAGGGCGCGAGCATAAAAATTCCGATTTCACTTTTCTCGCATTGGACTTTCGGATCACCCTAATGTACATGTACTTTGTCTCAAGGTCCAAAAGGATCCAATAATCATATAAACAAGGTATTCTTATTTTAGAAAAATTTTCTAAGATTCAAATAAAGCCTTTTTCGTACATTGTGTCTAGTCTTAAGTTTGACAGTGATTCGTTTTAAATATATTTACTGTGTACAGCGATTTTTGTTTCCACAACGCAAAGGTCCTTGGCCATCAAAGCAGGCTTTTCATTGACGTCATTGCCAAGGATTTGCAAATGTTCATTCATAAAACAAGATATTTAATATTTTCTATACAGCATTACAAAAAACCACAACAACACAAAAACGCACCTACACACATGCATACACATTATTCTCTGAAGTGCAGTGGTGCACATGTGCGATAAGAAAATTCAATCAATCAGCGCTAAATTGAAGTTCACTGAGAAGGAAGAAATCGGAGAACTTCTTTCACTACGAAATCGCAAATGGTGTCGGCTTTGCAGGCTAACGATTTGTATAAAAGCGGTAAAAATGCCCTCAGGAGGTCAGTCAAGTCAGAGCGAATAGCCCGACAAGGACATATTCCAAGTGCGCCAAACAGCATTTAAAAAAAAACCCCGGTATATAAATATTATAACTCTAACTTAAAAGGATAAGCAAAGAATAAACTAAGCGAAACGATAAGATGGGATTTGGGTATTGGCAGTTGAAGGCAACTGTCATTTACCTACTTGTAGTCAACATTTTGGCTCGAATTGAGCCTCGCACTTGTGACCGTGAATATTGTTATGAGCGTTTCGAAGGTGAAAGTGATCGATACTCAAACGGTGATGTAAACTGGTTGCGAGAAAACGCGTCTTACAGGAAATTTACTAATACAGACTTTGATGCCAGACTAAGGACTTACCGCTCAATCAAATCAGATAGTCAGCAGCAACACATTGTAAGTACCACCAAACTTTGCAACGAGCATGCGGAACAGCGCAGTTCAGACAAAAGCAATGACGGTCAACAGGTTAAAAACAATCAGTTAAATGAGCGCGATGAACGAATCACTGCTGACAGGCGCTACAATAACGATGAGCGGCGAGTAATTGCGAGGAGTGATGATGAGCGCGAAAGACGAGAACATGGGCGACGAGATGCTACCGAACGCGCAGACACTCGTGAGAATCGACGCGAATTAGTTCAGCGATTTGAAGACCGCGTAAAACGATTTGCTTCTAACAGGATTTTTGATGATAGTGAGGAACGACGAGCACTTAATAGAGATACTGATGAGAGGGCCGGACGTGGAGATGAACGCCGGGATATTGTCGCACGCGCTCAAACCCGCGAGGACCAAAGGGAAGTAATTAAGAGATTTGGAGAACGCGAAGAACGATCAGCTGCTACCGATCATCATGAGAAAGGACGAGAACATGGGCGAGACGAACGAAAAGACGAACGACGAGCACATGCCAGAAGTGTTGATGTGCGCGGCATACGAGAAGACCAACCACAAGATGTTACCACGCGGATTTATAATCGCAAAGAACGATCTGCTGGTACAAAACGTTTCGACGATCGTGAGGAACGACGAAAAATTACCAGAGGTATTGATGAGGAGAAAAGACAAGAAGACGAACGAATAAACACTGTAGCACGCGCTGAAACCAGTGAGGACCAACGAGAACTAGGCCAGCAGTTGGACGACCGTGACGGACGATCTGCCAGAGCAAAAAGTTTCGGTAACCGTGAGGAACGGCTAACTGCCAATAGTATTAATAAGCGGGAATCACGAAAAGGCGAGCGACGAGATGCTACCACTCGCACGGAAGCTCGAGAGGACAAACGAGAAGCAGCTCGGCGTTTTTATGACCTCGAAAGACAAGAAAACGAACGAAGAAATACTATAGCACGCGTGGAAACCCATGAGTACCACCAAGAACTAGCCCGACAGATTGCTAATGGTAAAGAACGATCTGCTGATACAAAAGGTATTGATGACCGTGAGGAACGACGAGCACATCCCAGGAGTGTTGATGAGCGCGAAAGACGAGAAGGTGAACGGCGAGATGTTTTTGATGGCGCTGAGATCCGTAAGAACGGACGAGAATCAACCCAGCGGTTTGATGATCACGAAGAACGATCTGCAGCTACCAAACAAATTGATGAGCGTGAGGAACGACAAACAATCGGCAAAAGTGTTGATGATCGAGAAAGACAAGAAAATGAACACAGAGATGCTATAGTACGCGCTGACAACGTTATGTACCGACGAAATCTAGTTCAGCGCGAAGAACGATCAGTTATTTCCAGGCGGTTGGATGAGCGTGATCAACGACGAACACTCGAGAGAAGTGTTGATGAGAGGGAAATTCGAGAAGAAGAACGAGAAGATGTTACTACTCGCGCTAATGCGCGTGACGTCCGTGACGACCGACGAGAACTAACCCGGCGATTTGATTATCGCGACGAGCGATCAGCTGCTACCATACGTATTGATGAGCGTGAGGAACGGCGAACAATCGGCAGAAGTGTTGATGAGCGTGAAAGACGAGAAGAAGAACGAAGAGACGCTACTACTCGCGCTGAAGGTCATGACGACCGCCGACAATTAACCCAGCGGTTTGATGATCGCCAAGAACGATCAGATGCCACCAAACCAATTGATGAGCGTGAGGAACGGCGAGCAACCGGCAGAAGTGTTGAGCGAGAAAGACGAGAAGATGAACACAGAGATGCTATCGCACGCGCTGAAAACCTTGAGGACCGACGAAATCTAGGTCAACGCTTTTCTGATCGCGAAGAACGATCAGTTACTACCAGAATGTTTGATGACCATAAGGAGCGACGAACAATCGACAACAGAATTGATGAGCGGGAGACCCGAGACCGCGAGGAGCGATCAGCTGCTACCAGGCAGATTGATGAGCGTAAGGAGCGGCGAGAAATCGGCAAAAGTGTTGACGAACGAGAGAGACGAGAATTAACCCAGCGATTTTATGACCGCGGGTATATATCTGTTAGTCCAAGGAGTTTCGATAATCGTGTGGACCGGCTAACAATTTCCAATGACGTTATTCAGCAAGAATCACGAAGGAATGAACGACGAGGCGTTATAGCACGTGCTGATACCCGTGAGAAGCGACGAGAACCAACTCGGCGATTAGATGAGTATGATAACCGAAGATCTCATGTAAGGAGTGTAGCTGAGCGCCGAAGACGAGAAGACGACGGACAAGATGCTCCCACACGCGCTGAATTCCGGGAGGACCATCGAGATGTTATTGCAGAACAATTTGCTCTTTCTAAACGAATTGGTGACCGCGAGGAACGAAAAACAATCGATAGAAGTATTGATGAGCCAGAAAGACGAGACGATGAACGAAAGTATGCTATTGTCGGCACTAACAACCTTAAGGACCGAAGAAATCTAGGTCAGCACTTTGCTGGTCGCGAAGAAAGATCAATTACTTTCAGGCGGTTCGATGAGCGTGAGCAGCGACGAACAATCGACAAAAGAATTGGTGAGCGGGAAAGACGATATGAAGTGAGAAGAGACGCTATTACCCTCCTTGAAGCTCGCGAGGAGCGACGAGAATTAACCCAGCGATTTGAAGATCGCGAGGAACGATCACCTACTACCAGACGAATTGATGACCGTGAGGAACGGAGAGAAATTGGCAAAAGGGCAGTCGAGCAAGAAAGACGAGAAGATGAAAGACGATATGCTATTGCAAGCGTTGACGCCCGACGAGAATTAACTCAGCGGTTTAATGACCGTGTGGATCTGTCTTTTAGTCCAAGGAGTTTCGATAATCGTGAGGACCGGCTAACAATTGCCAATGACGTAATTGGGCGAGAATCACGAAGAGACGAACGACGAGGCGCAATCGCACGTGTAGATACCCACGAGAACCGACGAGAGCCAACTGGACGGTTAGATGAGCATGAGGACCGACGATCATATGTCAGGAGTGTTGCTGAGTGCGAAAGACGAGAAGACGAATGCGTTGAATTCCGAAAGGACCGTCGAGATGTTATCGCAGAACAATTTTCTCCTACCAAACGAATTGGTGAGCGCGAAGAACGACAAACAATCGACAGAAGTGTTGACGAGCCAGAAAGACGAGAACAGCAACGAAAATATGCTATTTTAGGCACTAACAACCTTAAGGAGCGAAGAAATCTAGGTCAACGCCTTACTGATCGCGAAGAACGAACAGTTAATTCCAGGCGGTCGGATGAGCGTGAGCAACGACGAGTATTCGACAAGAGTGTTTCTGAGCAGGAAATGCGAAAAGAAGGACGAAGAGACGCTACTACTCGCGCTGAAGATCGTGAGGGCCGACGAGAATTAATCCAGCCACTGGATGAGCGCGAGGAACGATCAGCTGCGGCCAGGCGGAGTGATGAGCGTGAGGAACGGCGAGCAATCGGCAGAGGTGTTCATGAGCGAGAAAGACGGGAAGATGAACGTCGATATGCTATTACACGCGATGACGCCCGACGAGAATTAACCCGGCGGTTTGATTACCGCGAGGATCTATCTCTTAGTCCAAGGAGTTTAGATAATCGTGAGGACCGGCAAACAATTTCCAGTGACGTAATTGAGCGAGAATTACGAAGAGACGAACGACGAGGCGCTATAGTACGTGCTGATAATCGCGAGAACCGACGAGAACAAACTCGGCGATTAAATGAGCGTGAGGACCGAGGACTACATGTCAGGAGTGTTGCTGAGCGCGAAAGACAAGATGCTACGAGACGCGCTGAATACCGAGAGGACCATCGAAATGTTATCGCAGAACAATTTGCAGCTAGCGGGCGGTTTTATGAGCGTGAGGAACGACGATCAATCGATAAAAGTTTTGATGAGAGGAAAAGACTCGAAGATGCCCGACGAGATGCTGTCACTCGCGTTGGAACCCTTGGATACCGGCGAGAGCTAGACCAGAAATTTGATGATCGCGAAGAACGACGAACAATCGATAGTAACATTAATGAGCCAGAAAGACGAGAAATAGCTCGTAGGATTGATGATCACGTAAAATATGGTGTGGGTACAAAGCATTTCGATGAGAGTGAGGAACGACGAGAAATTGGCAGTAGTGCTAATGAGTGGGAAAGACGAGAAGGCGATATATCTGCTTCTCAGAGGCATAATGAACGCGAAAATCGTTTCGCCGCTAACAGGCTTTCCGGGGATCGTGAGGAACGGGAAGTTACAAGGCTTGTTGACAAGCGCGACGCTTCATCGCGCGTTGCTGACAGCGAAAAAAATATTTCAACAATGCGCACGGACTACCGTTCAGTAGAAAGGACACAAGCACAGCGCTGCAATGGTCGTGAGGAACAATCCTTGTTTTTCACACGTTTAGATGGTGGTGCAGTCAACGTGGCCTTTAGCGGTCGGCAGATGCAATCAAAACTCGATATAAATGCCAAAGAGGATGATTTGCGAAGAAGCACTGACACTCATACGAAACGCGGATATATTTTACTTGGACAAGGGGCAATATTAGCTTTGGCTTTATTGAAATCACTAAAGGGACACGACCTCGAGATAAAGTAAGACAACTATTAATGACATTTCAATATTAATTCAATAATTCTTTATTTTAGAAAAGGGCAACGGCAATATTTTAGCAGTTCATCAAATTTAATTGGTTTTTAAAAATATCTGAATCAGGAAGAATTTTAAAATACTTGAAAATGGATTAATGAATTGTATGTATATAATAAAGAAGTGTACCTAAAGCAAATCCTTGGCAATATCGCTGTGTTATGCAAACAATTATATATTTATGTGCATATGTATCATAAAAAAGGCCAATATATAGCAAAATAATACAAAAAAAATTGGGAATAAATGTAAATATTTCGCCAAACCTGTTATTAATTCTGTACAAGTTATTTATTATAAATAAGCCCATATAAAATACCTTCAATAAAAATGTTACTCTAATTAAAAGAGCCAATTCAAATTATATTTTTGTAAATTTATTATGAAAATTTTAGGTATTAGGCCAGTTTGCAGCTCTCAAGAAAAGCAAAAACTCCGTATAAAATGACGTACAAGAAATGGATAAGAAATTTTCTTTGTAAAATTTTCTTGGGGCAGTACGCAGTTATTAAGAAATTTGCTACGCTTTCTACTACGGTTTTCTAAACTTTCTTGTGAAAAAAGAGGTTCTCTTAACCCAGGTTTGCAACAGAAATATATGCCCGTTCCTTTATTTNCTTTCTTGTGAAAAAAGAGGTTCTCTTAACCCAGGTTTGCAACAGAAATATATGCCCGTTCCTTTATTTCTTGTGGAAAGAGCGAGACAACAAGCTGTGAGATATCAGTTGTCAAAATTCCTTAAGAGCGAAATACACCACACAAGCGGTTTGACAAACCAAGC